CAGTTCCACTTCTCAATGATTTGTTAAATATTTTCTTAATATTGTATATTCCTTCATGTACATTATTTTTCTTTCAAAGGATTTAATTTTTTTTAAATTTGGTAGAACAGAAGATAAATATAACTTGTTCAGATATTTTCTTAAACTACCAAAAATTAAATATCAATTTGCCCCAAATACACTTTTTTGTCAGACAAACAAGGCTTTAATATTTGGTGCCGATTTTATTTGTTAGGTACATTAAAAAACATGTTATATTGTTATTGTTTACTTCTACAGCCAAAGCGTGCTTCTCTAAGTAATATGTAAAGAATTATTTTGTATACGCAACAAGTTTCTGTAATTTTACTTTACCGAATCTGCTTTCTGCATGTAAATCCTTGCGCTTCAGAAACCATGAATTTTCGGATTCAACTTGGTTGTGAATGCACTCTTTTCCAAGGCTGTTGGAGCATCTCACTATGAATTAAGAGGTACCTGGTTTGATTCTAGATGATGTCCAACAAAAAAGTCTTCCGCAATTCTATACAACCATACCAGATGAAAATGCAACTCGCTCAGTTCAGATCGTTAGCAGATTTACACTACAATGCCTCGTTTTTTTTTATTTACTTTGACACGACAAACATAATTTCCTGGTTCAATTTTTTTATGTCAACTAAATTGATTTTTATCGTTTATTGTTTTTGACTTAAAACCAGTTATGTATGAAGATTTTCAGTATGGTTTCATTGCGGGATTTTGCTGACAATAGATTTTTCTGAAGCCGGTTTAAATTCTAGGACAATTTTAATGTCAGTGATCTTCCTTAATTTTACTGGAATTCTTTTTACAGTGTATGATTTCTGACATTACTAATGATGCAGCATCAAAAAGTTAAGTTGTTTAACTTTAAAATTAATTAAGAATTTTTTTTGTTAATCTTGCACTAGCTTACAATTCTACAGCAAATTCCACCATTTTCGATTCTAACGTCAATTTTGTAAGAATCTAAAACTTCAATCAGGCCTAATTATTTAACACTTTTATCAAACACTCTTTGTTATCACCGAATCTTAAGAATCACATGATTCTCTGAACTAATATAATAAGTTCATATTTTTATTAGGTGACGGACCCTCTCATTTTTTCAGTGTTTCCCATCACCCACCTTTCTCAATCTGAGGCAAGCAGTAGAAAGATGAAATAGCGCTTAGCCTCCGCATCCGTATTAAATCTCCCATTTTGTTGCTGAGATATTCTTCTTCCTGCTGTCTAAGAAAACATCCGGGAATTTTTTTGCCTCCCCACACCATCCACCAAGCCTTCTTATTCATTCTAGAAAGCAGTAGCATTAGATGTACACAAAGACCAGCTAAAGGGAGACGAGGGAGTTTCTTTTCTTGTTTTGAGGAACTGGGTCTATCGTTTGGAGGGCGCTTCTTCCACTGAAGAAAATAGTACACTCAGAATATATAAGGAAGATTGGAAAGGGTGGGTATCAAATGTGTTTGGTTCAGAAAAAGCTTATTTCAAAAGATATGGAAAGCAGCTCTGTGTTTTTTATCGCTTCTCAGACACTCCTAGTTCCGACGGGCACTAATAAATATACGCTGGATATTCTGTTCTAGAGGAAGCATCTTGACTTGAATTTCATTTTACGCTATCGACTTTTTGAGTTTTAAGTTAAAACGTTCTCGTAACGTTGTTTCCTTAGACATTGTTCGCTAAATTACATGTTTTGTTTAAATTAGCTGTACGTTTTTTATGAAGTTATTCAATAAAATTACTTTAACTAATTTAATCAATTTCGCCATTGTATTTTATTTTAAATTTTACCTAATTAAAATTCTTATTGTTTAGAAAACATTAAAAGCAAAATCTATAATGACTTCAATGGAACGTAACCAGAATGTCTCCTTAAGTCACCGAATCATTAAGACAAAAATAATAATCTCCTGTTATTCGAAATTTGCCAAGTTTTGCTTTAAGACTGTGGGACAGCACTCATGTTTTGTATGACTGTATAAGATTTCTGCTGAACTTATATCGAAAAAAAGAGTAAAAACAAATGACGTATCACTTCACTGGCGTTTGAAAAGTATCGCTTTATGTTTTCCCTTGTTTTAAAAACTATCGTACAAAGATTAATATTTAACTTTTTACGTTTGCCCGATATAATTCGGGATAGTTAACTGATGGTAAATTAAATGTTCTTTAAGCATAAAAATATAAAATTTCCACTTTAAGCTTGTGTAGTACGTTTTCTTTTAGATCTTTGTATTTATTAATGAAACTATAAAAAATAAGTTGATTTTTTAATTTCTTTTTCAAACAAATTGTTAAAGGAAGCGGTTAAGCTTTCATCAAAGTAGGAGTGCATACATAAATGAGCTTTAAAAAAGTTAAATTTCCTTTTAATGCACGAACAATCCATAAATTATATTTTACTCGACAATTCTATGTTTATTCAAATAAACTACCACATCGATAACGGCTTTACTCTTTTCTAGAAATAATGTTGAATCAACATTATCTACTAGCAAAAATGAATTTTTCTTCGATGCTATGATTTAGTGTTATATTATCCCTGGTCTTTATTTGTTCACTCGGAACAATAACATATAATTGAATGAGTTTGGTTTATGCCGGATTAGTTGCCAGGAATAAGGTAAAAGGGAATCCAGTACATTTCGTAAATTAACGTTTTCAGAGGCTTAGCTCTTAATTCTCTCCCGCTGTTATTCTTAACTAAAGACTCTCATGAATGAAAATCTCTCAGTCATGAATTCATTAGTAGAACGAATCAGGAGGAAATGAAACTACCACTTACCACGAAAATTTGAATGGCGTTTTCATGCAAACGTTGCAAGTGTTTGGTTTCTCAAAATACTCAATTCATTCTTTATCGGTGGAGCAGTGAATCCAAGTGCATACATAAATAACAGATGAAATTTAAACAGCTACCAAGAAAGACGCATTTGGTAGAATCAAGGTAATATTGTTTATTTATACCTCGACCCGAACAATTCATATCAGATAATGCATTAAATTACTTCTTTTCCTGCATGTCTTTAGTAATACTCGTTTTTAAATAACAGATCGACGCGTATTCGGAAAAAAAATATCAATATTCATTGGTAAAGTACTAACAGAACTCTAGTTAGCATCATAGAACCTAAGTAAATTAGAAAGCTGCTAAACATTGCCAAAGTAAATAGTACAATATTAATCCTTCCTATATGAATTTGTCAAAATTTTCTAATGAAAACTTTTGATTCTTCTGTAATCATTTCTTTTGTGTTATGTATTTTGCTTTGAACAAAAATATAAATAAAATGATTTTATAACGATCATGAAAACTGTATACTTCTGTGTATAAACGCTTCAGAACTTACAGAAATTTTCTGCAACGTAGAAAACATGTGATGAATTGTAATAACTTCTGTTTATGAGCACAATTACTTGGGTGTAGGCATTCAAGTTTTATCTGCAGAAGAAATCTGGCTACATATCGTTAGTTCAGATTAATGACCTGCTAAAAACCTTACTCTAATTACTACTGAAAGATAAATGGAGTTAAAAACCACTACTCTGTTAGAAATAATTTTATAGCGTGTCAAATTATAGTGCATAGAAATTGCTGAAATTGTGGTATCAAAGAAAGTTGGAGTACATTATAATACAGTCAGACCTCGATATAAGTTCATCCGCATATAAGATCAGCCCGCATATAAGGTTTTTTTTCTAAAGTCCCGGCCCACTGAATTCTTTATTACAGATTATCGGATATATGGTAAAGTTTTAAAAATCGTGGTCATTTTTATCTGAGGCGAGGGGAACTCTTTTCTAACAAAAGTCTATTTGCAAAAGTTGGAACATGGTGTCCACCACATGCATAGCAAATTCGTTTTCGTCATGCTGGTTTCGTGAGTTCTCTGAATATCGTGGATGACGAAACCGAAGAAGAAGACGATATTCCTCTATCTGTTCTGATGGTAGATCTGAAAAATTGTGGCCATGCCATTGAAGGAGAGGCTGAATATGGTTTGATTGATGAGGAAATTGCCACCACTTCTGAAGCTACAATTTCTGAAATTGTTTCACAAGTTGTGGACAGTGAGGACTAATGACAGTGTTCCTGAGACTGTAGCCCAAGCTGAAGCCTTTAATGCAATAAATGCCATATGATTTTTTTTTACAAACCATGAGCTGAGGAACATTTTGAGAAGTTACAAAATCTAGAAAACATTGTTTGAAAAATGGAACCAAAAACGAGACAGATCTGCATAAATGATTATTTTAAGTAAGGTAAGATATAACGTATGTATGTACACTATGAGGAAATTTATAAACAGCTTTATTTTAAATTTACAAATCTAACTTTCTTTAATTCCTTACTAATTTTGTTAAAATTTATAGACCTAAATATTTAATTTATGACCAATCGTTTTCGTTTGTATTAAAATTTTTAAAAAATCATAATGTGTACTATTTAAGTGCTTAGTTACGAACTGTTAATGAATCATGAATCGGCTAAAAGCTCACTCCGCTTATAAGGTCACTTTTTCGATGTTCCTCAGGGTGACCTTATATCGAGGTCTGACTACTTCTAAACACAGTTACACATGATATACTATATTTCAGCTTCAACGGAAACAAGTTTCGAATAATACGGCATTAGAAAATATAAACCGCATTATAATTTAATGTGCTATGGTATTATGGTTTTTCCATTTGAACCAATTAATTTGAAAGTGTATATGACTTTGTAGGGTCTTTCGATTCAACTTTTTTAGTTTGTTCGAGCTCAAGTATTCATGTAAGTAAAAACGAAGCAGATGCTCAAACAAGCAATCTCATAAGCTATATTGTTTTAACTAGAATGTAACACTCAATTGAGTGTCAATCTAATATCATGTTAAGATATTGGAAGTATTTTATTTAAAGTACTTAAGTATTTTTTAAGATATTTAAAGTATTTTGCGGTCACTGACCGATACCGATAAGCAAAAACTTACAGACACCTTGGGATCGGCATTCTGAAGTTGAGTCTTTTCTTCTAAGTACAACTACTACGGCTACGACAACTGTGATGACAACTACGACGACAATGGCGCAAACTATAGGGACGAATACAGCTGGATCTCTCATTATTGAAAAAGCAGTGGACGAAGATGATGAGATGGAAGCAAGAGGAGGCACTGTTGCTGAAAATATAAAATACAATCATTAACTGATGAAACAATAAAAATTAATTTGAGAACATTAAATGAAAAGCAAGAAAAAACTACTTAGGGAGCATTTATTTCCAAAAATTTAGCTCGATATTAAATATATACTGAATTAACTAGAATCTAATCAAGAGTTTTTCTGAATCTAATTTAAAGAGTAAAAATCATTACTCTACATTCTATTTTTAAATAAAAGATTAATAAATTATCATTTGTCTCATCATTGTTAATTTTTTAATTACTTTTCTCGTTACAGATGAAATCAGAGTAACTATTCTAGATACATATTACAAAATTAGTGGTTATTATTTTCACATAATTGAATAGAAACTGATTATTCTTTAGTAACGCATGAAATGGACGCTAACTCTTACTGGAGATAATATATATCAATACATTTCGTAAAAATAGCGTGAAGAAGGAGAAAACAACAATTATATAAACACTATTTTATTCACATTTTTCATGCTTTAGATTTTCGCAATGAATGAGACCATTTTCGTAAGATTTCTAAAATGTTTTAAGTATATGATTAGGTTAAAAGTTAAAAATCATGATTAGAAGATAAAAAAATGTTACAATATTCACTATTATTAAACTTACTGAGCAGGTAATCAAAGTAAATCACAAATTTTGGAAACTTAAAAGTACTATTGTGTTATCCTGAAAACAAATTATATTTACAAAGTCTACAAAACAAAGAGAGGATCCTTTTAAATGGGATAGTTACTAATAACTTGCCAAAACTAATTAAATACGTAAGTTCTAATTGTTATAATCTCGGATCACGTAAAAAAAAATAGCTCTGATTATTTTGCTTGGAATTTTTTCAAACTTTTGAAACACTAAATTTGCACAGTTAATATTTTTGATTATATTGGCTACTACAATATTTCATGTAACTATTACTACAACATACTTACTTTTATTTGAGTAAAAATAAAATAATAATAAAAACTTTTTTGTCCATGTAACTTTATCAAAATAAATTAATGAAATTTATTGAAAGATAGTTCCTAAATTCAAAAAAAAAAATTTTTAATTAAAAAAAATATATATGTATTCCAAAGATAAATATTTAATATACAAATATTTAAATAAATTACTTTGAAAGTTATTGTTAGATTTTAAGAAGATAATCAAATATTTCCTAAAATATATGCTTAATCTAATTCTCAAATATTGTGCATAAATCTCCAATTCATTGAGAATTACCATTGTATTTTACCTATTTTGATTGTCAGTGTCAGGACAAGAATATAGCAATCACGGCGAAATGGAAGATGAGCAAAAAGAATGCCATGACGTTTTAAGAATTTCCGTAAAACTAGCTTCCTTACATAAATGGTATCAGAGCAGGAAAAGCTGACGCTTCTTTCTTATTGCAAAGATAGTCAACGATACGTATTAAATCAAAATAAAACAAATGCAAAATTTCTTTTGGGATTTCTAAATTGCAAATGCTAACAAAAATAATAGTCTAAAAAAGTCGAAAATAATTGTACTGACTGGATGGCAGTGTTCCCTTGACGAAGTTGCCATGCATGTCAGCGCTCCCACATTGTTTTTGTTTTATTTCATTCATCTTAAAAAAGTTTTCTTCAAGGATATATATATATATANTACTGAACAAAAAAAATCTGATATACTGTAATATTTGCAATAATTATGAGCCGTCATACCCTGAGTGGCGAGGGCTCAGCAGATACAGCACTCGACTTTCAATGAGGTGAACCAGGTTCGAATCCCCAGCGATGGCTGGTCGATACGAATTCTGCATGACGATGGCCCCGACAACAGTGCTGACTCTAAAAATACTCAGCGGTAGACGGATAATGGGTTGGATTCCGTTTGCCGTCTGGCTAACCGTGGGAGGTACTCGTGGTCTTCCTCTCCATGTAACGCAAAAGCGGGTTAGTTCTATTAAAAAGTCGTTCACAAAGGCAAATTTTTCCCAATACTTCATCCAGAAGTTCTTTTGTCTTCTGTATTGGGCTCAAAATTACAAAGCTACAGAGTTAAATATTAGTAGTCGTAAGCCCAAAAATTGGGTCGGCTGTTCAACGACAGTTATAAAATAAATTAATTATTACCGTAAAATCACTGAATCACTCTAACTAAATAAATATTACTATAAAAATGACGGTAAAAAATTTTATGACAAAAATAGATTTTACGGTTAAGTGACTGTTGACTTTTTATTAGTCTCACATAACACAAATCACATTAACACAAATTTTAAAATGTGCTAGTATCTACATAATGTCACAAATTCTATAAAATTCCTATTACCTAAACAAAATCAAAACACTTTTTTTTAAAAAAAAATGAAATGAAAAACTTTACTTTCGGTTTATATCATTCTGAAATATTACAGCTCAAATCTAGAATTTATTAATTCTCGTATACTTTGTTCCAAATTACACTTTAATTCATAATTCAATTCAACCGACAAACTTCCGTATATTTATAAAGAAAATTAGTTTCCTCCTATTTATTAGTGTTGAATATGTAAGAAAGCAGATTCCATCCACATATCAGCTATTGAAGGAGTAAGCAGCTTCTAACAAATTGTCGCCAAATTCTTTTCACAACATATTTTTAGCGCCACGCTCTAATTACACCACTTAAATATCGTACTTAATTACGAAATTCAAGAACATGTATGGGCAAAACGTTATAAAGCAAACACAAAGCCATTAATGCCTCATTCACATGCTAAAACTGAACTTCGGAGCGTGCGGATGGCAATAAAAACCGGTTGATATTCAAGACCAGTTTTATGACCGGTTCCGCTCATTTGTTATCGGTACTGCCTTGGATAGAAAGAACGTCCGGTGATAAATTTGGCTCGCGATCCCCGTAAAATTTGGGATTTGTAAAGATTAAAAGAATCTTTTTATAGGCAAAGCAGAGGAAAAAAAAGTTGTTCAGTTTTATTATGTGCGAGATCTGTTTTAGAAACTATAAGAACTTTAAAAGTTGTTTTATTTTGCACTTTATTTTTCCTTTGGTAATGTGTTTTTAATAGCGCTGCTTATTTTATGAAGCTTAAAATGAATGAAATGATATTTTATACTTTGATGATTTTAAAGTTGGAAAAATACGGTAACATTAATTTCTAAAGCGTAATTAATATTTGCTGGCTGTATGGAATTTAATACATAAGCATTTTAAATTTATCCGACTAGTTTTATCATCAATGTTAAATAAAGTTTTAATTACATTCAAAAAGATAAATTAAAATCTACATAATTAAAGACAATTCTACTGTAGTATTGAATTTAACTATTTAATACAAGTGCATTACTGATAACTATTGTTTTAACAATACGCTATGGTACTTAAATAAAAAGTTATTAATAGCAATAATCTCAAATTAATATCTGTAGTAAATTTTGAAACGTATACTAATACCAATTGTTTTTCAATTTGTATTCATCAAATGAAGAAAAAAAATCTAATTTCAATTATTGAGATTTTGTTGAGTGATATTTAAAAGAAAAGCAAAACGTAATGCTTAATATTATCGAAATATACACACGCATTGTTTAAGTAAGAAAATTATACTCTAACAATGTATTTTCTCTCAAACAAATTATCCATAGAATACTAAAGTAACGCTTTTATCTTAGTTTAAGTAGGAGTAGATTAGCATTCTATTGTTTAAAAGCATAGAATTGTTCAAAAGGCAAATACTCAACAGCTGTAAGGAAGGATTGAAAATTCGGGATGAAACTAAAGAGAACAATGCTTCTTTAATTAATATTAAAATTAAGTTATATTTATCTCAACAATAAAGGCTTTACTTTATTGCTATAAGCCTATAAACACAGTTATTCTTCTCATTAGCATTATCTAATTTTTAAGATAGTTAATATTTAGGAATAGGAATTCTAATGTTCCAATGTTTAGGAATAGAAATCCTAATATTCTAATATTAAAGAATAATAATATTTTTAGGATTGATTTAATTTTATCCTATTTAAAATCAGCAATCTGAAATAATAATTTATTTTGCATATTTCAAAATTTTCAGTAGAATAATGCTTTAAGAAGCAGTCTTTGAGTTTTTCTGAGTATAAAAATGTAAATTCATCAGATTCTTAAAGCATGAAATGCTCAATTTTTGTGTAGTTTTATTAACTATTTACTGCTTAAAATTTTTTTATCATAGCTTATGCATCTATTTTCATTGCGAAAGAAAAGGAATTTGACAGCAAACAAATGGTTAAACCATTTCCGGAAACTACGCTTACATATAATCCAAAGAGCAACTATATTAGGAAAGATCTGATTTAAATTAAAAAAAATATACAAATTTAATAAACAAATTTTAGTTCAAAATACTTAGTCCATTTTTAATGTTTATGGTGCATACTTTTTCATTTGAAATTTAAATTTATATCGTAAAAATAATAACAATTTTAAAATACTGCATAATTGAACTCTCTTAATACGTTTGAATTACAACGTTGTTAACAATTCGCTAAGAGAAAACTTTTAATTCTAAACATTTTATTTCATAAATAAGAAATTTTATGAATATTTCCCCCAAAGTATAATCTCTGAGCTAAATATATTCTGCTACTAATTGTCGAAAAATTCCCCCTGTACGAAATGTTAGTTCTGGAATCCCTCCTCTATTTCGAAAGTCTGAGTCTTAAAAGCTACAGCACAGTATCCTTTTTTCTTTGGAAACATTTAGCAGGATACCAGCATTAACATTTCTTCCACAATTCTCTCTCGTTTACTTCACGTTGGTTTGGGGAAACGGGGGAAATGCTGCCGTGACAGCAAACAAATGGTCAAACCGTTTCCGGAAACTGCGTTTACAGAAAATGTTACGACGTATAACCAGAAGAACAAATGTGTTTGAAGACCTTTTACAGGATCGCGATTTAGTTGGAAAAGAGGGGCTCCTGAAGAAAAATGAGGTAGAAAGCGAAATCTCCGGTGGGGTGGCTGAAAAGATAAATGGAGAATTTCTGGATGAAAATTCTGGATGGGACAAAAAATATGCCAGTTTTGTCGATCTGTTCGCTGTTGCTGAAGAATTGTGGAATATTTAATAGAAATATTTCATTTTTAAAACCGCTTCTGTAGCTAAATTCTAGGAGACACGAAGATTTATTCTTTTTCCCATGCGTCGTGTTAGTGTATTGGCTTGTATGATATTTGCTTAAGGTGCTTTGATAACAGCCTAAAAAATATTTAAGTAATAAAACATATTTGAATAATATGAAGTATTAGGAATTGGTGGATTTTTTGTTGGTATTTTATGTTTAGTGTATATAGTTTGATATAGCATTGGTAAGATAACTGAAATGTATACATATTTTAAAATCTTAAAATTCTTAACATAATGCACACTACTATAAATTATTTTAAACAAATAAGTTAGTCCTAATTTTAGTAATTTATTGATGATAAAGAATTGAAAGTTTCATCAATACCAAGTTATTGATATGGAAATTATTTAGTTAAATTTAATTGTGAGAGAAAAAAGGGCGTTTATAAAAGACAAGGAAGGTAATATTAGGTGACATATCAACATCAATTTACACTAGAAAGATCGATGGGACACACTTGGCCCTTTTCGTTTCTTATTGCTCTGTAATTCGAAAAAACATTTATTGAAAGTGTTAATATTTATGATTTATATAATTTGATCTAATTGTAGAGCTTTATACCCAGAGTAACGGGAGGGTCCTTAGCGGCTCCTCAGGTATTTTTGTAGGTATCCCACAACCCCAAGTATTTTTGGATACACTTTGGTATATAAAATACCCCAGTTTTAATAAAAAAACAAGAGTATATTTAATGTACATATAGGTAATATTTTTTAAAGAAAAGGAAGCGCATTTATCTAAGAAACTAATGTATACATCAAATTTAAAAGCTAGTATTCCGCTTTTGCAAATATTTTCGTTAACCAAATCGAATGAAATACCATAGAATTTAGATGATCACGTCTATAATATTTTTTTATTATATTAGTTAAGATTATAGTTATGATCAAAATAGTTCACAATCTAATTATCTAAACACAAACAATCAGCGACGAAGCAAACTGGCCCCATCAAACTTTCTCGATATGCAGCAATGTTTAGTTCTTCTAAATTAAAATTATAGTTAACACATTGCTGACCGGTCACGAGTTAACTCGTGTTTTCATGGCCAAGCGCGGATGACCGGTCACGAGTTAGCTCGTGTTTTCGTGGCCAAACGTTGATGACCGGCCAGAGTCATAGCAATCATGTTAGCAGTGATCTCGTGGTGACTATTTTAAAAAGTGGGAGTAATTTTCCTTATTTTTCAGGTTTTACTATTTAATTCTCTACCAATTTATTATAACTTTACGAAATCTGATATATCTGCAAAACTTGCGGTGCATCATTACACGTAGGTGATTGTTATACTTTTTATCATACGGCATTAAAAAATTTTAAAGTTTATTTATAATTTTTTACTTCTACACCGGCTTTCAAAACAATAGCCGGGCACATGGGGGTTATTTTCAGAAAAGTTGCCGGTCAGCAATGCGTTAATTGTGCAGAAAAAGCCATTTAGTAATTACAGAATATGATATGATATAACTGCAACATATTACACTTGCCAATCTAAGTTTTTTTTAGTTGTGACAGTAATAAAATAGTACTGTAATGACATGATATAAAAAGATGTATCAACAGATTTTTTTCACAAACATTACGTTTATTTCTGCTGCTTTAAAAAAGATGACTATCTTTCGTATATTAAGTATTTATTTTAAATATTGCAAGGATAAATCTATCCGATTTCACCTAAGACCCACACCCGTTAAAATCATCTACATTAGTTATATTATATTGATTTTATATTCAAAATCTTAGAAAGTGAAAGAACAGATGATATAAATCTTTGATAACATGACTATAGAAAAACTTCTTGAGTCTGAATAGCTTACTGAAAAGGATGTTTATTTCTGAAGCTTTAAAAAAGATGGCTATCTTTCGTATATTTTAAATTTATTTTAAATATTACAAGGATAAATCTATCCGATTTCACCTTATACCCACACACGTTAAAATCATCTACCTTAGTTATATTATATTCATTTTATATTCAAAATCACAGAAAAGGGAAGAACGGATGATATAAATTTTTGATAACATGACTATAGAAAAACTTCTTGAGTCTGAGTAGCTTACTGAAAAAGATTTTCAAGTATTTGTACTATAGCAGCAAACATACTATTCTGGGAAATTTTTATAAAAATTTAGTACTTTAGGAAAATTATCAACTTTTTTCAATTGCATTTCTTTAAAAAAAATTCAGCAAGATTTTTTTTCTTTTTAAATTTTGAAATGAAATTCTTTGACACGTGATGTTTAGTCCACTAAGTGCAAAAAGTACTTTCTTTAATCAAATGTACTGCTACAAAATATCAATATCAATATCAATATATAATGTGTTTGAAGACCTTTTACAGGATCGCGATTTTGTTGGAAAAGAGGGGCTTCTGAAGAAAAATGAGGTAGAAAGCGAAATCTCCGGTGGGGTGGCTGAAAAGATAAATGGAGAATTTCTGGATGAAAATTCTGGATGGGACAAAAAATATGCCAGTTTTGTCGATCTGTTCGCTGTTGCTGAAGAATTGTGGAATATTTAATAGAAATATTTCATTTTTAAAACCGCTTCTGTAGCTAAATTCTAGGAGACACGAAGATTTATTCTTTTTCCCATGCGTCGTGTTAGTGTATTGGCNAATGGTGTTTGAAGGAGATTATATATATATATACCTACAAGTAACTAGAACACATAACCACACTTTAGTTTCCATAAGTAAACTGGAGGAATAATTTTAATTTATAATGAAAACTTAACAAAACACTTGTTTTTTATTTAAAAGTTAAAATATATTATGTGTGCTTTAAAAAAAAATATCAAACCATGTATTTTTTTTACCTCTTCATCTTTTATTTATCCAACTTTAAAAAATAATAGTTTTAAAAAAGTTTTTCTTCGGAGTGAATATATTTTCACCAAGTGTAAAATATTCACTATTTTTTTGTAAAATCTAACTAAGCAAAACCTATTTTTTAATAATTTTACTTAGACATAAATTGTTTTATAAATGAAAGAAAAAGCAGCACTATTTTCTAAATAATGTACTAACTTTCAATTTTAGAAACATTTAATGCCTCTTTACTAGTGATATTAATGATGTGCTGATAAGTCTGTTCTTACATCAAGAACATTTAATATGTTATTTTAGATCCTTGCAAAACAAATTTATTGCTTTTTATTTCAAAAGAACAAACAAAATACTTAGAAAATTATTTTAAACATTGGAATGAATCATGGACGATACTTATTCTTTCGCATGTTAATTAACAAATAAATATTTTTTTAGCAATGTCTCATTTAAATTTTTAACTGAAGGAAAGTAATCAAGTCAAGTATTACGATAAAAATAAACGTTGTCGTAAGCACTAAGACTTTTTTTAAAATCTTTGGCCATCGAAACTTTAAACTTTTGAGTTTTGCATCTTAAGGTAAAAATTATGCATCACATAAATATAACACTTACCGCCAGATGGCGTTAGCGTAGAAAATACATATTCAGCTTCTGTTGAGCCAGCATCATTGTGAGCTGTCATTAAAAGATCGTACCAAGTACCAGGAGTTAAGTCACTAAGAATAGTTGTAGCTTGAGCGGGAGCGATATTAGATGACTGTAATATCCATTCTTTTTGCATTTTTGACTTATATCGAATCTCAAAATACAATATCGGGCACCCACCATCAATCCAAGAAGAAAGACGGATAGTGACAAATGTTGAATTTACTATAAGAAGTGCAGCTCTATCAGGAGCCTGAGGAGCTGCAATTAGAGAATAAAATATACACTTTTAGCTTGGATACATTTTTAAAGATTTATGCAACGTGGGACACATACAAATATAATTAATAAACCTAATGATCTTAAACCTAATGATAGGTAACTAAACCTAATGATAGGTAACTAAACCTAATGATAGGTAAAAAACTAATGATAGGTATAAACCTAATGATAGGTGAAGAAAAAAATGAAGAGCATGTTAAATATTGCTTAAACCAAAATTCGCCTCGAAAGCACCTCGATTCGAAAAAAGTTTCAGCGTTATTTAAAAAATATTAACTGAAAATGTCATTGCGATTAAATATGGCTGTTTTCCCGTTTAAATTGATTTCTCATAAGCGATAAGGCGTCGTTACTTATCATTTAAATGAATAGGAAGCTCTACTCATTTACCTCTTGGCTACCCACTTCTTCATAATTTATTTTAAAAGGTTATATTTTTCAAAAAGCAAAATTTATTTTATTTTTAATGCGAAAAATTGTTATAATTTTTGGTTTACGTGCTTCGTTAATGTGTTAAACGTAACGAAATGAATGATTACCTGTATTTAATAAAATAATTACCCATACTTAAAAAATGAAAGTAGGAAAACGAAATGCATGGTACAATAAAAAAATAATAAATATAAAAATAATAATGTGGTGCAAAAATAAAAGAAAAATAATTAAAATTGTTATTGATATATCATGATATTCATCATATTATCATTAAACAAATTCATCTAGAAATAATTTTATGCATGAAAAAAATAAACGTGTGGTACAATACGAAAATATAATCAATATAAAAATAATAATTTGTTACAAAAATAAAAACGAAGTAATAATTAAATATGTTAATGATACATCATGATAGCCCAATGTTATTATATAAATTCATGTAGGAAAAAATGAAGGTAGGAAAACAGAATGCAAGGTACAATAAGAACAAATAAAAAAAAAATTATAAAACAAACAAAAAGTTGTGATCGACGCAAGGCGATCTCAGGTTACCTATTGGTAAAATAGTTGTTGTCTAATTTTTTTGGGGGGAAAGTAGCTTTATTGTGTTTTCATGTTGGACATCTTAAACTGTAAATCCTGAACTGTTCGGTGCATAATTTCGCAGGCATGTTTGAATGCAGCTCAGACACACTCTGTGTAAATTCTTTTGATGATTGAACAGATATTGAACCAGCCAATCGAGTTCAATATTAACATTTTCGGATTATACAATGGTGTTTGAAGGAGATTGTAAGCTGCATCATGCACCCGCTTCGGATTTACAAGCTCAAACATGAAGTGGGAATTGAAAGCTAAGCTTTTTTTTTTCAATTTGATATGAATAGTGAATGAATCATTTATATTGGGTGGAAGACAGTCTACGATCTTGTGCAAGTCATTGGGTACGTTGACAATGAATTCTTTTATACCTAACTGGTGATCAATACACAGTTCTCGTACTTGCATGAAAGGGGTTCGGAGAGCCACCATTCGCTCTCCGGTAGGGTTCAATTTTGTCAACCACTTCGGTACTTTTGCGAGGAACGGACTTCATGATTGCGTTTGCGAACAGAATCCTTTCGTTTTTCCGTTCTCGTGTAAAGTTTAAGGTATTCCCATCTATGTTCTTTGGATTTGGCTAATTCTGTCTCGGTCAGTTTAGGCCTTGGCATCATTTTTTTCTTGCTTCAATTCTAAACTTTGGGACCGTGTCAGTCAGTTTGGAACCCTCTTTATTTGTTATATTCACCTGAACTAGTATTGAAAGCGATCCTGTTTGAACTGCAGGTTAGAATTTCTGATTCTTAATTATAACAATTAAAATTGTTAATGATATATCATGTCATTAACAATTCATGCAGTAACTATGTCATTATTCAAATTCATGTAGGAATAAATTTATGTAGAAAAAAATGAAGGTAGGGAAACAAAATGTGTGGTTTAATAAGAATAAATAAAAAAGTAATTAAAATTGTTAATGATAAATCATGATAGCCCTATGTCATTGTTTAAATTCATGTAAGAATATAGGAGTAAAATCACGTTTTTATCTCTCCTGAATACTTGAAATACGTTTTTTTAAAATTCAATATAAATGTTAAGATGTTTCATATAATTCTCATAAGAACTAAAAACATATTTGATGCAAATTTCTTATAACTGGTGAAAAAGAGGAATAAAATTCATCAATTATAAGCAAGGATAAAAAATAACAGTATTATTAATACATATTAAACGTTTTGATACTTACATGTGTATAAAATTTGATAATAATTTTTGGTCCACCTCAAATAATTTTTGAGGATGGAAGAAAAACGCGCTAAAAATTATTTGATGCGTTATAACATTAATCAATCCTAAGGACATATACATGTTTTAGTGATTTGGATAAATATCAATACTTAAGCAATAAGTAATCGTGTTTGAATTAGCAAAATTAAAGATGGTGTGTATGGATATTCTCATTTTCTCAATAGTTTACGGTTTAAATTATTATATATTGTAATAAAACTTCGCTATTAATAGTCGCATGAATTACTTTATTAAAATATAAGTTAAATATCAAAAATATCTAGCATATTATAGGATTTATTATTAAAGTAATATATTTGCTTTAGGGTTAGGAATTTACAACCAAGTATTAAAATATTGAAATTGAAATTAATTATTTAATGATGTCCTTATATAGATGAATTTATCTTACAAGAATATTCCCATATTTCGGAGCAAATCAGGCTTGAAGTAATTATATTTTAACAAAAATATCCAATTAAATATTAACAACGTATTAGTTATAACTTAATAAAAAAATGAAATTTAGTTATATCTAGTTAACTATCCATTTATTTAGTTTTCAGAAGTCAGCATTTGCTGTTAGAATGGAAAATTATGTAAGAATAAGCAACATAATAATATATTGCTGACAAGGATGCATTTCCTGACTCGTAGTTTATTTTCCGCCGAATGATCAGCGATCAATTCAGATACAAACACCACAGACATATCACTTCCTGATCAGCACATATCTTCCTCCACAATCCATATTGATTGCCCTAGTCCAGACGCGATTGGTCATTATGCCCAGTGCCCACGGAAGCCCCTCTGCGGAGGAAGATTACCTTTCAGATCATGTACCAATACCCAAGAAGGGATCACCTCTGATTCTAATGCCCAGCATTACTCTTCAGGCAACAATGCAGGAACTGGACACTGCTACTTGCTTTTTTTGTTTTACTTCATCATTTTTCCTTTTCTGGTTGGGATATTTTATTTATTTGTTTTTGTTTTAGCCTTCATTCTGTTGAAGAGGTTTTGAGATGAGAGACTACGAGGACCAGTTGGGAGAAAAATGTAGCAACATAATTGAAGGAGGCCGTGTTTGGGAACAGCAAACAAGGCGATTTGTAACTCGAAACGCTACAAAAGAAGCTTTCTGAATCACAATGGATACGGTTTCTTCTCGCGAGGATTTGTCACCCCAAGAGTCATGCTGTTTGTATAAATTCATTTCACCAAATGGAAATGTATGTTATGGAACAACTAGGATTGTTTCGGGGTGGAAGGAATGAAAACAGGAACATAGAAAATGAAAAGAATTTGGAACAGAAATAGAAAAATTGTTTGAGAAATCATATAAGTTTTTATTTCCTAAATGTCTAAAGTGGCATGAGATTGACTTTGTTGAACCAAATTTTTAGTGGGCCTATTTTAATTCACTGTTATTCTATTTCATCATAATAGAAAAAAAAAACTTTATGCCTTGAGATTGACTTTGTTGAACCAAATTTTTAGTGGGCCTATTCTAATTCACTGTTATTCTATTTCAACACAATAGAAAAAAAAAACTTTATGCCTCTTCTTATTTTTCCAAAAAAAAATCAACGACAACGCGATCAAATTAATTTCGAAGTAAAAAAAAAATACTATCAAATTTTGACTAATCATTGTCCAATGTCGCAAAAATTAAATGAGGTACTTAACTAATAAAAAGCCAGTTTCTTTAAATTTTTAATTGGCAGAAATTAAACAACTGTTAACATATTTAAAGGCAAATGAATTCCAGTCATATAAGAGAAATAGAAAATTTGACTGGTTTTAAATGATCTTACGCCTCTTTTGTTTCTATCGACGTTAATAATGTTTTGACTAATTTGAATGAATTGTTTTATTCAATTATGTATGCGTGTTTTTGCACCAATTACTCAAATGTAAGCCTAAGTGGCTTAGGGGGCATTCGCCTCCCAAAGAAGAAGCAAGGTTTGAATCCCAGTGGTGGCAGGCTATTATGAGTTATGCTCTAGACTCTCACCGACCATTGTGCTGACATAGAATATCCTTAGTGGTAGACGTATCATGCATAAAAAGCCCTTTGCCACCGTGCTAATCGTGAGAGGTTTTTCTCTCCATGTAATGCAAATGTTAGTTCTATAGTCCTATCACAAAGTCCTCCACGAAATCTAGTTTTTCCGAATGCTTGATTCAGAAGTTCCCTTGTTTTCCGTCTTATAGGCTCAAAATTAAAAATCCACTGAGTTAAATATTTACAGTCGTAAATTCAGAATTGGGTTTGCGGTTCAACGACGGTTATAAAATAAAATGACTAATTGGTAAAATATGTTTATTTTTATTCTTCTGTGATATATATATATATTGTATNATATATATATATATATATATATATATATATATATATATATATATATATATATATATATATATATATATATATATATATATATATATATATATATATATATATATATATATATATATATATATATATATATATATATATATATATATATATATATATATATATATATATATATATATATATATATATATATATATATATATATATATATATATATATATATATATATATATATATATATATATATATATATATATATATATATATATATATATATATATATATATATATATATATATATATATATATATATATATATATATATATATATATATATATATATATA